AAGGAGGAGGAGCTGTCCGTTTTGCAGAAGGTGGAGCTGAAGATACTGCAGTGGAGAGAGAAGGAGGGAGAACTGTTTCAGCTGAGACGGAATTGCATAAAAGTAGACTGAGATTGAGGTGGAGTATGCAAACATCTGTCGAACAGTGATTTGAGGAGCTTTGAAAGAGGCTAGTCTTTATAAAAAAGACGGGTTGGTGTAACCGCGGTAGTGCGGCGGCGCAATGCGGGAGGCTGGAGTGTAGAAGCAGAAACATCGGTGACATGGGAGACAGGTGGATTAGGTTGAAAACCAGGAGGCTGAGACGGCCAAACAGCAGAAAGTGAACAGTGTGGAGAATCTTCGAGGTGCTGGAGGAGAGAAAGGCGGTCTGAGTTTGGTAGGTAATTAGACATGTGAGCTATTATAGGTCTAACGCTCAGAACTCAAAAGACTTTAATTCAAAACTTTAGACGTGCACGTTAGTGTGGTTAGGGTTTAAATAGGGAAGAGATAATTGAATGATAGAGGAAGGGGCGGAGCATCCCCAGCTTCTCCCCTAGAACTCCACGTATCGGTTTCCATTTCATCAGGAAAGTTCTAAATGAATTTTTTTTTAATTGAAAACTGCAGAAAGGCCAGAATATCACCCCTGTTACCAAAAAGCTTTGAAATGCAGTAGTACTCCAAATGTACGGTTTACATATTAGTTTATAGGCAAAGCTGAGGATGAATGATGATGAGTAGATAAGTCAGTCTAGAAACAGATTCCGCATTGTGGAGACAACAGGAGAAAGAATCTTCAGAGAGCACCCACATATTTACACTACTATGCTGCTTGTATTGCTTTTGTCTGACCAGAAACGTTCTGTTCATCTGTTTCCCGTTGTTCCTGATAAGTGGCTTCTTCCTCCTGCAGGAGGCCAGAAATGAAGTTGCCATCGGCTGTGCACTGTCATTTTTGTCTACTGGTTCTTGATTTGCTCTCTCATTTTAAACAGGGATTTCTTGTCTGTACTTTTTTTTTTAGCAAAGATAAAAACCTTTTCTTTAACCTTCTTCTCCTGTATATGTTTTGTCTTAATACTCCCACTAAAGTAATGTCAATCCGTACAATCTTCTGCTGTGCTTCTTAGATTGTAGAATGGTAAATATTTATGTGTGGTATTTATGAGTTTTCCTCATTCCCTCACACACCTGAAGGCAGTTCCACAGCTGAAATGATGTTTTTTCTTCTTTCCCTTTGGTTTCCACCATATCATTTATCTCTACTAGTTCCTTTGGAAGTCATGTGTTGACACAGCTACCCCATCCTAACCTCTGTCTATTTATGAGTGTTTTGTAACCTTAGCTTAGGACTTGATGAAAGTGGCTGAATAAGATAGTGGCAAATCATGAGCAATGTTCCTCTACTTATACTGTATATAATGTTATATTTAACATTTTCATCTGCTTTGCTCTCTCTGATAGATAGCAAACATACCTTCAGCTGTTCATCTTTGGCCCCAGTCTTTGCAGCCCGCTCGCTTCCTGCTAAATCAACCAGACTGAGTTTGCCATAAGTGACACTCCCATTGGTGTGGTTTGTGCTTTCAACGGTAACCCCGATGATTAGGTGAGAACGGGAACTTTCAGAATTCATTTCTGTCAAAATTTAATACATGCAGTATAGGTGTAAGTTTATTTAAAATAAATGGGACAGGGACAAGACGAGAAATAATGTGCATACTGTACATACAATACAGCACTTAGAGATGATAATGCACATTACTTATAGAACCTGTGTTTTAATAAGTGATATCAAGCAACAAGACAAACGCTAATAAAGCCCCTCTAGATATCCATCGATATCCATACCCAGCGATAGATAACATTTAAAATATTTATCATTTTCATATTTGAAATACTATGTTAGTTCTCTTCAAACTAAAGATAGTATCATCCATCTTCTGTTTTTGTTATGCCATGCTTAACAGATATTTTATATTCAAATTTCTTAATTGTCAGTAATGATTTCTTCACCATGCACTAGTGTTGACTTTATCTAAAATGATTAATCACAAGCCTTTAACATGGTTGTTTTGACGTTTCATTAAGCACATACTTGTGT